TAAAAAAATCTTTTTATTGTAGTTTAGATAATGTTCCCCAATATATTATTTAAAATTAGTGGTTTAAACTGTTGAAAATTTAACAACGCTTAATCACAGATAAAGTTCTTCTCTATTTACTATAAATATTTGGTGATTTAAAAAAATATTTTTTTTTATTCAATATAAAATATAAAAACATCAAAATTGAAATATAAATTGATTAAACCGTTTTTATTAATAGTAAAACAATAAAAATAAAAATAATGAATATATATTAGTAGATATATCATATATTATACCATAGGATAATTGTTAAACTAATCAATCTATTAGATACACTTATTTGAACAACTTGCCTAATACGACTTTTTCTACAAAATGCCTTTTTTTTATACATTTTTTTTTTATTTGGTATTATGGTAGAACATTGGCCCAGTATACATATCGGAACATACTGCAATAAGAAAATACAATTTTATTTTACTAGGAAAGGGGCCTTTCTATTAGGTAAGTGTTATTTTATAAACCAAAGAACAACTGTGATTAATGCAGTCTTACAAAGTCAAAATTTGTACTTTTAAATGTATTAATCAAAGTTAAAATTGCTTTCTATGTGAAAGTTTTTTTAAGCTTGTTAATACTATATTGTTCACTATATTAAAATCAAATGTTACATTTCGTATACAAAACAAGTGTTTTTTTCATATTAAATCATTTTAACTTTCAATTTTAAAAGTTTGATTATAACAAAGGCCCAATTTTACAACTTTTAAAAGATTTCTTTGGCTAACTTAAAATTAAAAAATTAACATTTTATAAAAATTAACCTAGAAAAATATATGTTTGTCTCCTGAAAAAAAACCAAATTATAAAATTAGGCCCATTGTTCTAATAAGCGTCTCATGTATTTTTTACATGTTTGCCCTATTTTTACTGTTGGAATTTGTTTTTTTTCTTTGCTTGCCAAGGTCTCAGAACCAACGTTAATGGGGTTTACAAGTGTTATTGATCAAAATATTGTTGAGAATAAATTCTTTATCGGGCAATTTGCCAATGAAATGTTTGTAATATTCATGTATGTCAATAACAGTTTGTAATCTACTGATATTTAAATATTAAAACAAAATAATACTCACAGCCTCCGTTTCGTCTCTCATATATTTTTCGTGGTACTTGCATACCTATAAGTAACTGAAGCTGAAGCTATAAATAACATGAGTTTTTTTTATCAAGTCTTTAGTACTTTTGGTACATTATAAAAAGTTTAATGGAAAGAAGTTTTACGTAATGCCATATCGAATTTGAACGGTACTGATGCTGAGTTGGAAGTTGAATCCAAAATTCTCGGTGTATTGAAAATTAATCCGAACATCGAATCTACTATTTACATATATTGCTGCAACACTAAGAGTGCCCAGTAATGCGGGTAAAGTTTTGTATATTAATTTAAAAAGGAAAATCGGACTTATCTCTTCCATAATGACTATTAAAAAAATTAAATAATATCTAAGATAAAATTTACGGTGAGAGAGTAGGCACGCTCTCTCACTTAATCCAATCGAAGGTTTATGCGATATTTTTTTTGTTATTATCAAAAATTGTTTTTAATGGAAAAATTATCCAAAATTTGGCCCCATAGAGTACGTCTTACTATTACTAACGTCTTATCCAGCTGCTTGTCTTGACACTTGGTGACGTCACATGTCTGAACAGATCAGGGGTTCGATACTTGAGGTCGCACGACCCAGTGTTACCAGTATGAGGGAAATACATACACACACAGTCAACGGTTATTGAAAACTGACAGTCCTCAATTGTTTTATAGTATTTTTTTATTGGTTTGTGACTTGTGTACTGTGATGTTTAGTTGTGCTAATTAAGCTTATTGTATTCCAGTAGTTTTTTTAACGGCAAATACTTTTTTTTTTTAAATTAAAATGGAGAAGATGTTCTCGTTGCTATCGCAATATTTCCAGCATTTGAAGAAAGAAAAAAAGATTTTGGATGAAAGAATGGTTTCAAAAAAAGACAAACATTTTCCCATCATAATCTTCTAGATGAATTACTATATAATAGTCATTTTAATATAATATACTCAATATATATACTCACTTTTAAAAAAAACACGTGTTTTTATAAAAAAAACATTTTTTATTATACAGACAAAATTAGAGTATTTTTGTCAATTGTTTGTTTTTATTTTTAAATTTAAACTTTTTTTTATAAATAAATATATATTGAAACAGCTAAATGTCCATATAGGTGAGTTCTGTAAAAGTTTTAAGATAATTTATGTAAAATTAATTTTGTTATAACCATTTTAATATTAAAAAAAAAAATATGTAATAAAATTAAAAATATTTTTACTACATTAAACTTAAGAACTCATATTCTTTACCTATCCTTTTTTTATAGTAAAATAGTAGTAAGTTATGGAATCTCAAGTGTACAAATCTGTTTCATTTTACACAAAAACATAAAGTACAACCACAGTTAAATTCATGTTACAAAAATCCACGTCACTATTTAAGGGTTAATGGATATATTATCCAAAATTCGGCCCCATAGAGTACGTCCTACTATTACTAACGTCTTATCTTATCCAGCTGTTTGTCTTGACACTCGGTGACGTCACATGTCTGAACAGATAAGGGGTTAGAAAACTTATGGTCGCACGACCCAGTGTTACCAGTATAAGGGAAATATGAAACCACGGTTCATTGTTTAAAGAATGCTGACTAACATTGGTCATTGTTACGAGTCAATCAAAACATATCAATAGTACTTGTTTTTTTTTTATAAAACTGTATTACTTAATAGTTAAGTTAATACAACCTCAAAAGAAATATGTTTGCAGCACCTCTTCGCTAATACTACAACGGAATAAATGAAATCAGAATGTAAATAAAGACGGCGGCCATTTTTTCAGCGGAAACAAACAAAAGAATATACTAGAACTATAAATGTATAGATATAAGAATAAAAGAACAGCCGCTGAGAAAATGGTTTTTCAGAGAGTTAATTTAAATGAATTCATTTTTTCAAGAAAAAAAAATTATTATTATTATAAAACTACATTAAAAGATATGGTTTCTTAGCTTTAAATTTATCAAAAATGTCAACTAATCAATTCTTTTGATGGTAGATAACAATACAGAGGAAAAAAGTTATTGGATAATTTTCCTACTTTTTTTCTTTATTCCAAAGAATTTTTAAAAAAAAAAAATGTATTTTTCAACACAAAAAAATTATATTAACGGTTTGATTTTTTTTTTTGAGACTAATTTATACAATTTATATCATACAATTTTTTTTAAACAATACGTAAATTACTCTGAAATAAACATTTATAGAGAGCAATTCATAATAAATTTAACAAAATACAACACCATAAATAATTTTTGTATTAGTTTCTCGCTATTTTCGAGAGTAGAATTAAAAAAAAAAATTGTTTTAATAACTATAACGATAGTAACTTCTCCGTTGTCATCTTCAAGATTGAAATCCATACCTATTACAAAAAAAACCGAATCGTTAATTACCTATTTTTAAAAGTTAAAGAAATTACTTAATTTTTTTTAGAGTGTAAATTTTGCATGAAAACAATAGGTATGGGTTTTTTTTATACATTTAAACAATTTTTTTGTCGTTAAAATTTTAATTTGGTATACTTGTGAAACAATTTGTTCATTTGGTAAATAGTTTTTGAATACAATTGAGAGCTTGGGCCTAGAAATGTAAAAGCATCGTAATATAATTTTAGGCAACGTTAAATATAATTCCATTAAACGAGCAAATAAATCTAGTATAAATAGATAAATAAATTGCTAAAATTCGTAAGTTAGACAGAATACAATTTTGCGAACTATCTCGGTTGATCCTCCATTTAGATAGAAGTTTATTATAATATAACATATCAATTATTAATTAATTTATCACAATACACTCACTCTCAGTCACTACATAGCTATCTTTTCTAAAATCAACGGGCAAAGTATATATATATATTTTTTGAAACCATTGAATCCTTAGAGTACTGTTACTCGTAGACCTGTTGTCCGATATCAGAGGCATTTGACCAGGAGGTGATGGGTGGATTGCAATTTTTTAACGACCGAAATAACCAGACGTCTGAAATTAATAAATTATTTACTCGACAAACTAATAAAATATGATACAAAAATAATTAAACAACACAATACATAATCTATAATAGTAATATAGATGGGAAATTTTTACCTGTTTTAAAATCAACACATGTTAATGTGTTAATTTATTTAACGGTTCAAATGACCCAGTTATATATACAAGAACATAAATGACAGTGCTAAATGTACATGTAATAAGTATGTATTAGATAACTTTAAATATTAAAATACACAAGGAAAAAAGTACAAAGGTAAAAAGTACCTAAATAGGTAATTAGAATAAACCTATCAAAGATAAGACAAAAAGGAAGTAAATATCAGACAGCCATTTCAATTAAGGTAAATAATAATGAGAAAATACTACTCGATGAACTTAAACATATAATTTTACGTATCGGTGTGTATATACACAAGATTTGTAACGGTCAAAATACATTATTTCTATGATCAAATATTTGTCAAATACCTATATTATATATATATATATATATATTAAAATTAAACAATACTGATTTTTTTCCCTTCTAATTGTGTGCAATATGTATGGTATAGAAGGTTTAAAACAAACTATCACTACTAGCGTTATATTCTATGTACGTATTAATAGTAGTATTGATTTTGTCAGTTGAATTATTCATATTAACTAGAACCATCCGAACATCGTTATCGGTATCATTACATTATTAGCCAAATAGCAAGTATTAAACTGTTTATTAAGTATATTTTCTTTGTTTGTACAACATAAAAAACCAAACGATAAGTTGTCGTTCAAGCAATGTTAACGTTCAAGCATGCTCCTAAAAATCAACTCTCTCCGTACGTAGAAAATTTCGAAATCGTTTGAAATACATTGAAAGCGTAGTGCGTATTCTACATGGCCAATCCTGGAAAAAAATAACAGCAAATAACGTTAACATTCATGTTGTTTGTCTTAAGCGATAAAAGCAATTGTCATAAAAATATATGTAACACTTTACTTTTTCAGCATCATCACAACGATTTCTACTGTCCAAGTTATGTATCCCGTCTTCTTTATGTCGTTCTTCATGCCACATAGAACAAGAAATCTTGCCCAGTTCTCTAGTGGATGTCTCATCGTCACCTCGAGCAATGTCCGCATTACTGTTTGTTGACACCGCTATGTTGTTTAAACGTCTTAGCTTTGGCCGCGAAGGGCCTGCTGAAAAATTACAATAATAAAAAAAACATATAGTATCTAGTAAATAATAAATCTTCTCACCGGTAATGGATTGACATTGCCCACAATACCACCGTTGTTCTCCGGGTTTAATCATACTGCAAGCCCGATGAGTCCCACTCGAGCCACATGTATAACATAATTTTAATTGCCACGGTCCGCTAAAAAAAAAAATAGTACAACAATTCTAAAACTGAAAGCAAGTGGAAATATTATATTTTATACTCACGAATCTTGTTGGAATTTTCTTTTTTGAGCGCGTCTACACAAACAAATTTCGGCGTCACATTCGGAATGGCGTTCCAACAATTCATTGTAAGCGTTCGGCACCCTTTCCCACGAAGCGTCCCTGTGATTGTATTTTTTTTTTAGATAATTACAATGGAATAATTGTTTTGAAACATATACAAGAGATAAAACAGTAAGTACTGTGCAAATACAGTGTCATACAGTACATGTATTAAACATTTAAAATACTATGAAAACTCAAAACGTGTGATCATATTGTTTATGTAACAGTTGTCTTTATTGTGATTTTTTTTTAATTTGATAAGAAATTACTTTTCTCGAGGAAATAAAAGAATTATTTAAGTTATTTTTTTTTACTAAAAGCTATTTCAAATAAGCATACCTCAATGTTTTTAAGTTTGAAATTAAACAACAAAAAAAATAGTACTAAAAGTTAAAAAAAAATAAATGCTCAGCCAAATTAAAACTGTAAAAGAAATTTCTACACTTCTTAACATTATAAAATCCAAATTAAATGATTTTATTTATCTTAAGCAAAACTATTTTTTTTTTAACATAACAAAACTACATACACAAATACTGAATACTCCTTTTTTTTAATTTTAACTCAAATCTTCATTAGGTTATTTAATTTGAAATGAATATTTTAAAAGGCCATACCTCATAAATAGTTTAAACTTTATATTTCATTTGAAAAAACAATTTTTAATTATGGGTCTTAAAAGTAAAAAAAAAATTGTTGTTGGTCTCTATATACTTTTAATTTAAAAAAAAACAATATCGAAAATATTATTTTGTCTAATAGACTATCTATGTAGTAGCATGGACTACATATTCTATCGGATGTTATTCGATCCACTGCAAACAAACATAGTTAAATATCTTAAATAATAAATGAAAATAAAAAAATATCTAAGTTTGTTAATATTAAAAAGAGAACATTTTTTTTAGATGAATTACATAAGATTTATGTATGAATACATAAATGCATAGCCGGAAGGGAAATGATTGTATCGTTATATTTATCACAATAGTTATTACCTACTTTTAGGATTAGTTTATATTTTAATTTACCTCCTCGGTATGTATATTCCGAGAGACAACATGCTAGCTTTGAACTTTTTGACATTATTGCATAACGGACATTTGAAAAAGTAGCCAGCACTTAATGCCAACTGTTGAATGCATTTTCGGTGAAACCACGAGTTGCGTTGACAACAAGGAGCCCATATGGACGACGATTCAGCCGTTGCTTTTACATAGTCTTTACAAATTGCACATTGAACTTCGGCAGAGTCTTGCAAGGCTTGTAGGTCAACTGTTTGCGTTATTTTGTGTTGCGAACAAAACGATCTGAAAATAAATTTCACTTGTAACCAGCATTAGTCCATCTTTAATACATAAACGACAACACTCACCTGTGTGAACTTAAAAATTGATGCATAGAGCCGTTTTCCATTCCACAAGGTAGATGAAACTCTTTGTCGCAATCAAGAGAACAACAAGATATATTCGCTCCGGCCGTGTAACAATAAACGCATTTCTGTGTTGAACGCGTAAAATGATTATAACGATAATATCTGTTAAAACTCAAATATAATATACCACTTTTGATGCTCGTTGGAGTTCACGTGTGATGTCATTACCTAGAAAACTCCACGTTCCTTCATCATTAGCTCCACCTCTTTGTATGGCTTTCGACGAAAGGAGCTAAAAATTACAGTTTTGAATTTTTTATAACGATCACCTACGCAATGTGACCACATGGGTACTTACAACGCAAAAATAATGAACAACTATATTGTCGTTGAGCTGATACAAGAAGCCATAAAGCTGTTCGCTATTTTCTTTCCTTCCGCAAAACATGCACGCTTTATTATGTTTGTGTCCGAGTTTGACCATCACGTCTTTACGCGTAGGTTGACCTTAAAAAAAAAGCAACAACAAACTATATTATTTAATTTGTAATAAATTTAATTAATTTGCTAGACTATCGAATGACGGTGGTGGATTTAATGGGAAAAGGCCGAGTCCACAATATTATACACAGGGTAGGGCACAATATTTCATTTGTGTAATTGTTATATAAAGGTAAAAACCTTTAAGATAACAAATATATAAGAGTTTTAAAATAAAATGTTAACGTTAACACTAAAATACTTAATAGTAATAATATTCACTGGTGCCTTAATAATGTTTTCTTTTGCCTACTACCGAAGACATTATATTTATTATCATACCTGAATGCTGCTAACTGCTAAGAATGCTTATTGATGATAACATAATAAATATTGTTAAGGATCTATTTGGATGTTATAATGATTGAACAGGACAAAAAGCTGTCTATCACAGTGCTTGTGAGAACACCTTTATTACTTTGCTATTTTACTACTTTTATAGATTTTATTCATAATAAATAAAACGAATCAGTAGGATACACCATTTTATAGGGTTTTTTGATTTTTACATATAATTTTATATTCATATTATTTAAAAAGAAAAAGAAATGTCGTCTACTTATTAAAAACTCATTCACAGTAAAACGTATCGTTCCTGGAATTATTACAGTGGATCGTTTGCCAGTATTCGATTGTTTTGTTTGCGAAATAGTTATTTTTAATACATATTTTTCACTTTATTAGGTCTAACAATCATATTGGGTGTATCCGGCTGGATTTTTTCTAAAAGAAATTTGATTAGAAAACCCAATTTGCGAGAGGCCCACACAGGCTAGTGTCCAGTTTATATTGTGTAAAATCAGCCACTAACCGTCGACGTTAAAAACATAATGTAAGGGTTATAATATTTTACTAATATTTTTTATTGAGAACTCACTTCTTGTTCTGGATGGCACCATGACGACGAAGGATATTAAGGGGAAACGTCACATCGTGCAAAGTAGAATATAATATGTGTTATAAAATTATAAACATCGTATTCTAAATTATTTAAAAACACTGTTTGCAATATTATTGATAAGACCCGAACATAAAATAGCTGTTATGAACTATACTGCGATTCTGTGATAGTATAGTATGTTAATGACGTTTATTGCGATGGATTTGTTTCAACGTAATGTAAAAATATTCATTAATTGTTATGTTTGAATATTCAACGAATTTCGAAATTCGACGGTTGAAACTTTAAAGAAAGAATTATCCGAATGAATAACGATAATAGAGAACCAATTATCACTCGTTAAAAACGTTAAATCACGATTACCAACCTATCTTATAATAACCACATAACGGTCACCACCCAGGGGTCCCAACACCCAATTACAATTTAGTCGAAGAAAAATGAAATAAAATTTAAAGTCTTAAAATTATTTTAATTAACTTTTTATTGGCTTTTCTTAACTCAATACCTAGGTATTCCAGGTGATTCTTTTAACGCCCTAAAAATGAGACAAGCTACTAAAATGTAAATTAGGAATAGGACTTAAATCCGGATATCCGAAATATCCGAATAACCGGATATTTAAGTGTATAATAGATAAAATTCCGGATTTTTTCAATTATTTTTTTAATGCAATCTAAAAAATAAAACTACAGTTACAAAACGTGTAAAGCTACCTACTTTTATAACGTTAATTGAAAACAACATTGTATTAATTTATAGATAAAACAAAATTTAGACTGGAAATTTGGATAATCGGTATAATTTGTTTAGCTTGAGAATAGTTAAATTTATATTCCTAAAACATGTGTAAATTAAAATACTTTGAAGTTCATTTGTCTTATCGCCTATCACTCATATAACGAAAGATAATATTTTATTTATATTATGAATAATTGAAATCCGTGTTAGCTTTATATTATGACGTTTTTAAACATTTAAATAGTTATTTATACATATTTTTTATACTATGATGTTTATTAAATGAATTGATTTGTTTTAATAGGCCTTGTCTTCATAGGGGGATATACAGGTATCCAAAAATGTGTTCTGTTTATTCTGATTAAGTGATAAGTACGGATTTTTGGTGACACATAATAGTGATATATTTTAATAAATATTAAACTTTACTATATTGGTAATTAAAGTATTAATGGTGTAATATTTTTAGGTTCTTTGCCCTAGAATACAGAATTTGTATTTTATTTTTATTTATAGGCACGTACTAAATCTACAATTTCAAATATAATTTCAGGCACAAGGTCAAAAAATCGAAATAAATAATGTTTCTACCTTTTTTTGGGAAAAGGGTTGCTGATATTTTTTTAGGGTATGGCTGTAGGTACATCTGTAATAGATCTTGAGTAGAAGTAAAATTATTGTTGCTCTTAAATTGAAGCCAAATCTTCAAAACTTTTTTTTTTTATAGAAGTGGGCAGCACTAAGTTAATTTTAGTATTTTTAAGAAGAAGATCTTACGGCTTTACATTCTGCCTGACCAAAGAAATCTGAGATGCTACAATAAAGAGAAATAATATACTAGTGATGTTACCAATTTTTAAAAAGAAAATTATACTAGTTAAATAGGTATTTAAAATACAATTTTTTTTTCAATTCCACAAGTCAGGAAAACTAGGACCATTGGTACCTTTTACTTATTTCTATAAGTTTAATATATTCACCCACTCCTCTCTAGTACACCTAAATACACTTTCCGGATTACACGCTGAGAGCCGTACCATAGGTGACAAAATATGTTCGTTTCACAAACAAGGAAAAGATTAATTTCACTTAGAAGGGTATAGCCCCTTTTTTGATGCCAATTTTCCTAGGCATAAACGTGTTATGGGAAACACCGATATAAGAAACACAACAATTTCTTACTATTGAAAGACGTAACGGGCACCGTTGAGAACGATTGGTCCGCATGATTACCACCACTGTCATCGCCGTTGGCCGTGCTGGCATTTGCTCCCATCTCGCATACAACAAACTTTTTTAGTTAATCAAAAATACTACAATTTCACGATTTATAAGTAAGCTATTTTAGTTCTACAACATAACCGAAAGTGTTTACTCGTTACACTTTTTGGTGTTGCTATGGTTATTGTATGAGTTTATTTATAATGTCCGTTGTTTGAACAATATTTCTGATTTTCACAGAAAGAAAAAAAAATTGTTTTATTTAATTTGATTCTAAATGTTTACATTTTAACCACTCAAAATTATACACCTCCTATCATTCCAAACCCAGCTAATACCTTCCTTAAGGAATATTGCGCAATATTGGCATAATATCATGTCAGATGGGATCAGTTTCTTAACTTAAAGTATACATTAGTTAAGATTTTGTCTCAATCGTTTAAGTAGAAAAAATATAACACTACACGTTTACTGAAAAGTTTCAAAGCCTTAATAGGAATTAAGGAGGATATTGTCAATGAGTGATGAGTCAATGGTATTACCTTATGATATAAAATATTATTAGGTGTCAAAGTAGAGTACCAGTTTTTTCATGATTCTATATTAAAATTCTGTATAATATTTTTGTTTGAATCAACACTTATTTTACAGTATCAAAATAGTCAATCGGAATGTAATGAAATTAACAATATGTAATTAAAACTATTGATAGAAAATACCATAAATGGCTTATTGCTTGAATTGTGTTTGAAAATTATCTTATACACATAGTACTCGATATCGGTTTAATAAATTTTTCCATAAAGAAAGGGTCTGGCGTGCGAGGCTCATCAGCTGTTATGCGTGAAACTGGCGGTTCCAAATTGGTTTATCTATGACGTTATCATTAATTTGTACTTCCATCAAGAATGTATAGCATAATGATTTAGTTAGATAAATATTTATTTTGTTTTTTTAATTTTTGCGTTACAACCGACAACGATCGCCAGTCAGTCAAATACTCAAATCGACGTTGACAGTTGTATTATAATGTTTTTTTAACAAAAAAAATTAAAATGGTTTATGACGAAGTTCTCAAAAATAAGTTCAAAAGAAAAAAAATTGTAAAAACAAAGAATAAACTCTCAAAATGTCTGGCGTCTTCAGTACCCATTGTCACGTCGTCGGCTATTTGCTGTAAAATTTCATTGTTCATATTGTATAACCCGTTTTTGCGTTCACTAGTGCAAACGACTTCATTGTTTTCCAAGAAAACACATTTCTTACTGTCTGATTCCATCTTCAAACCTTTATTTAATGCCTTTTCCGTACTAAATAAGTTATACTTTAAATTTGGTACATATAACACATTAGACAAATAATTTTTATTCATGTTATTTCCCACATAACATATTATATTTATATTACCCGAACCTTCTGCCTGTAAATTCGTACCTTCGCCAATACTTATTTTCACTGGCGACCTGAATTTTTTATAGTTCACAAACCCCTCTCTGTTGCTTGTCATGTGTTCAGAAAGAAAGAATGAAAGAAAGAAAGAATCATCTCTACGCCATATTCTCCTCCTTCTTCCTTTTCTTTTCCTTTCCTCTCTCTCTTTCTTTCTTTGTTTGTTTCTTTTCTTTTCTTTCTTTTTTGTTTTGTTTTCTTTCTTTTTTTTCTTTCTTTCTTTTCTTTGTTTCTTTGTTTCTTATCTTTTTTTCTTTGTTTCTTTTCTTTCTTTCGGTCTTTCTTTATTTGTTTGTTTGTTTGTTTCTTTCATCTTTGTTTCTTTTTATCTTTCTTTCTTTGTTTGTTTCTTTTCTTTTTTTCTTTTCTTTCTTCTTTCTTTCTCTCTCTCTCTCTCTGTCTTTCCTTTTCTCTCTCTCTCTCTCTCTCTCTCTCTGTCTTTCCTTCTCTCTCTCTCTCTCTCTTTCTCTATCTCTCTTTCTCTTTCTCTTTCTCTCTCTCTCTCTCTCTCTTTCTCTGTCTCTCTCTCTCTTTCTCTCTCTCGAGAGAGAGGTCTTAGTTCTACCTAACGAGTTTTGAATCGATTTTTTGTCTCTTATAACTTTAGTGAAAATTGATAACTAATCGTTTATAACGCACAGTATTTTTTTTTAAATTCAAATTACCCCATGGGTAAACACTTGTATGTTAAATCAAAGACATATATCTTCACACTGTAAGTGTGTAGCGTTTTTGTGTTTCCTAATCACAACAAGCTCTGTCAACGTCAATTTATTTTATTACCTAATTATTTACTTGTTTCTTTTTAAAGTAAAAAAACTAGTCAACTCAACGTATTTTTTTTTTTTTTTTTTTAAGAAATTACAATTAGTAAACATTTAATTAGAAAAAAATATAAAACCAGAAAACGCCTGAGCACGCCTTGTCCAGGTTTTTCCCTGACATTTCCGTTTTTTGTGAATGCATTTTTTAATTGTTTATTAAATATCGACATAATCGGAGTAGGACGAGATTATATTGGCTGTCTAAGCCTGGTGAAAATCTGAAAAAATATATTTTTAAATTAAAAAAAAGCGTTTGCGTTCTATTTGTATGAAGGTACAAAACAAATAGTACAATAAAACATATTGTACATTTCACCAGCCCCCCCCCCCCACAGTACAAATAACGAGATAATTACATTTTTTTTATGCTAAAAGTTAGTACTCAATTTGTATAAATTTGAAGAAGAAGAAGAATGAAGAAGAAAGTTAAATAGTATTCTAAATTACAATCAAATTTCCATTTTTCATAATAATCATTTATTTATTTATTTTTTTTTTTTTTAAGTGAAGTTACTTATTTGATCGCCGTTCATTGCATCCATCGGACTGGCCAGTGAAAAACTCCATCTGCTTCCTTATCAAAAGTCCTTGAACTTACACACTCAATTGTAATACATCATTTACATCAAGGCTTTTATAAAAAATCTTTTTTTTATAACTTAAAAAATTACTTATTTTGAAAAACATTAATCCTTTAATGCTCTTAGAAAAAAAGTACTAATTTTAGGAGTTTTTTACTTTTTTGAAGGAAAAAAAAATAAAAATATACCGAACAAAATGCCGGACATTTTTGAGACAAATTCTATTATTATTCAAACTTTAGCTGAAGCTTAAATGTATAATGTTTGCTATATATCTTATGCAAAAAAATTAGTTTTTCATGTTCTTATGATTTATTTTTTTGGTCATTTTGAGTTTCAAATATACATCTCTCAGTTTATTTGGAAATTCACATATCTTTTATAAATACCTTTTTTTTTTTTTAATGTGAATAGGTACTCTAATAGCATAATGTCTCTAGCATAATATATTATAATATATGCTTTGATATAGAGAGATCGGTAGAGAAGACCTAGGATTGTACTGACATTAAGTATTTCCATAAATAAATGTATCCATTTTTGGGGGTTTTCCCTGTTTCGGGGGGATGAAGTTGACTTTCGACCCACCAAAGTACCGATCGCATACGGTTCCGGATCTGAAAATGGTGCTACACAAGTAATTCGGTTTACAGGACAAAAGTTACAGTGTCTACAGAGACAAAAATAAAACACACATAATTTAAGAATTAATACCTTATTTGCTTTGCATCGAAGCTAAAATAAATGTTTTCGACCAGTGTTATACTAATATCTTAACAAAAACATGTTTCTAAGTTATTAAATAATTTATTGTATTTTTGCAAAACGTAAATCCTGTCTTAATGTAAATAAAATAACAACAAATGTCACAATAAATTTGAAAAAATGTATGTTCAAAGGGGATTTCCAATAACGTTTATCTACCTATAAAAAATTCCACAATGACATGGCTAATGTATTGAAGATATACTAATAAAATATAACATACAATAATATCTAAGCTAAAGTCAATACTATTGCTCACCGTGGACAGTACAAGTACACGGCCTAAAACAAAAACGTTTATTTTTAGTATTTATTCCACGGTGAAATCAACCTTTTTAATAATTTTCGTTTTACATTCGAGTTCAATAACCACTCAACGACAAAGCGGATTACATTTTATTTTTCGCCGGCTAATCCGATGAACGGAACGACGTGGCGTTCAATTAGGTAATTTATTTAATATATTTAATTTGTATGCATATTTTATAAAATAAGTGTAGGTTCTGCTATCTCTCCTCCGAGACAAATAAATGGAGGTGTTTCTCAAGGTGTAGTAACCGTGCCTCTACTCTTCAACTTATCTCCGATTTGCCAACCTTAACTTACATGCCTCTACCTAATGCTAAGGTTGCCTCACGTGACTAGTAAAATACGGTCACTTAACGATAGATTTCGCCTTCTTCGCCAACCACTAACGTCTAAACATTTAAAGCTACATACCAATCTATTTCTCTACAAATCACAAATCTGTTAAAAGCCGATTTGGGTGATACGGTTCTCAGTTGTGGAGAGCTGCTAAATCTCAAACACTAACCGTACTAATAGATTACAACTCAAATGAAAATATTTATAAAATAATAGAATACGCAGCTGCAGTTGTAGAAGCTTAGAAAAACACAGTAAGACATTAACTCGTGATAAAAATTATAATGTGTATATTTCTTCCTCCTTGCAATTATCCTTCCAGTGGTAGGTACTTGGCTCTATGTTGTAATCTGTAACTATGGGAATATATATATTTTTTTAATCGTTGTCAATTATAATAACTATTGGCTTCTAATTTTCTAAGTTGCTATGTAGGCATTGTTGATTACAATTTTATTAAACACAATCTAAGTGACGTTTCTACTGCGTGGATGATTTAACAAAAGACCTAAAGAAATGTGTTTTATTTACCAAATTGAATTCACAGATAATAGGTCATGCTCTAATGACTCGAAGGTACCCACATTTATATTATAATACTATGTTCGTTATTAAATTAAGATTATTTTACATTTTTTAAATGATATTAGTTATTTATATGTTATTGAAAACTTGAAGGTTATATTATTGTACCCATCTAATTACTAACGGAATCGCCTTGACGGAAGGTACATAGTGCTTTACATTATTATACTATATACATCAAAATTTATTTTAAAAAAGAAACAAGAAAGCTACCTAATAGGTTATAACAATAATACATAATAGCTTCCAGGGACTATGCAACACTATTTTTTAGGAGTTTTTTTTTAATAATTGAGAATCGGGCTGGGGACAATATTGCTGATCAATATGGTTCAAATGTAATTATCAAATTGACTTAGATTATTTTTTTGAGCAAAATCCGATTTTGCGAGAAACACTATCGAAGGTTACTAAATTAACTTTGTATTTCGCTGTTAATACTTGTGTGTAACCGTGCAGTATTTTATTTCTTTTATTATTGTTGTTGCTATGGTGTTGCTAGTAAACGATCGTTGTTTGGATAACATTAATTATATAATTTCCAAATTAATGACTTTTTTGATACAAAAAATATTGTTTTTTTTGAAAAAGAAGATATGAAATGTTTTGTTTTCACGTGTATAGAGGCCAATCAATTGTACTATATGGCGGTGAAATAATGTAGCACTGATGCAACTATGGCCTAATCGCTTACAACGAGGTTAGATTTTTATACATTTTATTGAATTTATTAAGTTCTTAAATTTTAGTTCAAATGCTATTTATTGAACGGTTTAGAATCCTAATAGTAATCTAGTTTAAAGTACACGTCTTACCTTCGAACTAATGATTCAAAAATATTCTTTCAAATTAAATTATCAAAGTACATATTATTGTTGTTACTATGGTAGTGAAATATGTATAATACTATTTGTTAGTAAAATTTTTGACTTCGTCAAATAACATTTTTTTTTTATAATGAACATATTAAGTACATTTTTTAATGATTAATTTGTCAAGATAGAACTTTAGGGAGAATGAGCTATGTTTACAAATATTAAGGCACGAGAAACAGGCGATTAAAGCATATCAGACGCATATACAATTATTATGGTTCAGTCATTTCTAACAAGGTTATATCTTAAATTGTATTTCAAATGACGGTAAGACTTCTTAATTCTCCCCGAAAGCGATTGTCTTAACAAATGATTAATAACTTTTTTGGAAGCAATACCATTTAAATGCAAATGGTGATGGTAACTCATAGTAAACTTTATTTTTAAAAATTGTAAACGAACTCCTTTGTATTGAAACAGTCGTGCGTACCTATACCTAATTAATTGTTTAAACCAAGACAAGCTTTTTTAAAATCTATATAATTCGATTACATAATGTTAAAACGTCAGTGACTATTGCGTACAACAACAGTTATAGTATTTTTTGGTTTTCCAAGTTTCTCAAGATATTTACAGTAAAATAGATATTTAATATATAGTTCGTGTACTGCGCAATTAGGTTTTATTTAATGTCAGCGAAGGTGTTTTCATATTTATTGGTTGAAGTCAAATAAATTGTTATATGTGTTGGCGAGGCAATGGGAAATTAATTTTGAAATCCCAGAAAGAAAGGCCTGTAATAATATATACCCATGTTGATAAAGATAACTATTAAACAATTTAATTAAAAGTGGTGCACATTTTCCAATTTGGCAACCAAGAAAGTGGCTTACTGTAATTACCAAAAGTAATAACCGGAAAAAAATCTTAAAGAAAGCGGGTAGTACTCTGTCAGAGATGTTGGAAGACATAATGTCCGATACACGCTAATAAAAAAAAAATGTCTGTATCTAACTCTAAGGCAAACAAATCTGTACATGCCTGAGTATTTAAACAGACATGCTTTCGGTAAGCGATTTTTAAACGTGCCCAAATCATTGATATTCTGACAATGCTTTTACATAACGTACAGTATTGTGGTTGAAGTGTTTTAAAATTGCCTACATTAAAATATACATACTATTGAATAGTCTGCAGTAGTGTTGTATACTTTATAGGTACCACTGCGGTCATCTCTTTTCCCTTTTTTTATTGTATTTTTTTATAACCTGAGTGTGATCGACCGACGGTACTAAATTTAAATCTTTTTAAAGAAGTCGGATGACGGTTGGTCACGATATTGTATACCTAACGGTCACAAACAAAATATAACTTAGATATTATGACGAATATATTCAGCCAAATTTAAATCCGAGAAAAAATGCATTCAAATGCTTAAATAACGAAAATTATTATCAAACGAGTGAATGCTGTGCACTACTATAAATTATTGCATTTATAATTTATAATAATATAATAATCCGTTTCTAATATTTTTTTTAGTAATGTATTCCTCAAACGGTTAAATTACACGTGGGCGCTAAACTAGAAAAAAGGTAATAACAACTATGTGTTTTGTAATATAGGCCGCATTTCCTTTGTTGCTCTTCTGCTTTTAGCCCGTACTCATGATAATATAAATGTTCTTTTTAATTGTCTAATCAGTGGGAATAAAGCAGGAAATTCAATGTTGATCCACATGTTTACCAATCCTGGCATTTACAGTTTTCAGGTACAAGGCGTGTGCACAAGTTACAAGTTTATAAGTTATATTTTCTTTAAATTCAATCGATGATTAAAAGTAAAAATATAATAAACTATAATAAAAAATTAAATGACTATCCGTTTTTACTATTTTTATGACTCATTGTATAAATTTAAGTTGCAGATTTAATTTTTTATTTTAAGGATAAATTAAAGTATAAGCACAATACAGGCTGATAATTTATGTTGTTTCGGCTTCGACGACATCCACCACATCTTCCAACTTTTTCTCGTTGTTGATTATTACATGATCAACTGTTATATATAAAATTATAATTTTTTAGACAAGAATATTATTGATGACAACATTTTAATTTTACTTACTTTTTTACTATTATTTAATTCTAATTAAATTCACTTGGTTTCCACCAGATTCTAAATTACAGTCCTCTACTTCTGTATTAGACACAACTTCCACTCCCTCGGTTGTGCATTGGCTAAGATATTTTGGTAATACTTTAGCCATATTTCCACTTTCTTCTAATATTTGATATACCTTAACTCCATTTTTTCCCCTTTAGTGGTTCAGGTTCATAAAATAGACTTCTAGTAGTACCATTCCACTGATGGAAATTTAGTGATTTGGCTGTTTCTGGATCGTCATTATGCCACAACTCTTTAGATAAGGGTGGTCTCATATAAGGGAGGTAACCTTCAGCTGATACTACTAGAACCTACAAATAGTATATTTATGAGTATTATTATTTCTTTTGTTATTTTTTATTATTACAAGAAATATATTAATGAATTTACTCTAGCAGTAGGATCGGCAGATTTGATTGCTCTAAATGCTGAAAATGAATCTGTACCGCCTCCAATTAGTAAGTATTGTACATCGTCAGGAATCAATTTTTATTATTGTTTTGCGTGATTTTTTTTCTAAACAAAGTCAATTTTACTTACCTAGTAAATGGTTTTTAACAGAAAAAATATCTATTACATAAATTGAAAAATATGCTTTGATAACTTAATAAGTAATAAGTTTAATGACTCAGTTTATAGCCAGTAGTATAACCAGAAATTTAGTCAGAAAAGATTTTTTATTTTTATTTTAATACGGTTTATTTTAAATGTGAGTTTTTAAAATATCTACTATACTTAATATTTGAAAATAATTAAACACTATACTCTGTTTCAAAAAAGAATACCCAACATTAGCACATCGCAACTGACGGCTGCGACAAAGCCAGACCTCGATTTCCTCTACTTACGCCTCTTCCAAAGCGGACGTTATCGCAACGACCCAATACAAAACAGAGTATAGTATTATTAAAAAAAAATAATAACTATATAATTGATAGCAAACTAAATTATTTTTAACTAGTCTGACTTAATTTAAACCGTTTTGCAAAATGAAAAAGCCAAAAACAAATGTTTCAACATTTTAAAGCACATAACTACTTAGTAATGGTCTTTTTTAAATCTTTATCATCTAAATTGGATCTCTTTGAATCAGAACTCCACTCCTGGTTTTGTAAATTTGAAAAATGTTTATGAAATTAATAAATAAAAATAAACAGAATAATTTGGTACAATGATAGTTACACTGTATAAACCACCTACAAGGAGAAGTGTTTCTCTGAGCAGCAATAAGTTACGATACTTAAGTTTTTCATTAAAACTGCCTTGCCATTGATCATCGACTTTTGATGTGGAATTAAGAGGTTCACATTTTGGGGCTGGTTTAAGTGGCTTAGGAACAATACAATATCCTTGAGTCTAAAAAATATACCAACAATATTACAAATTTATAAAAAAATACAATTTTTTATACATATATTTGTTGGTAACATTATTTAGTTGTCACACAAGCTTTCGGCGGTTTTTCTATACATTCAGTATTTATAATTTTTTTTTAGGTAAGCAGCAGGCAGACAATTATTTTTCACTTTTTTTGATAAATTTATTTTACAATTGTACAATTTATTTAGTTAGTTTCTAAAAATCAAATTTTTATTTTTAAAATTCTATTTTACGATACATTAAAAATATTAACAATTTAATAAATAAATAAAAAATTACTGTTACATAAATAATATGAATTAATTGTAGATAATCTAAAGAAATTTTGAAAACTATTCATATAGGCGCAGCTAGGATTACATTTTAGGGGATGCTAAAACTACGCATACCTTACTAGTCATAATTCTTACCTTCAATTTTCAAACTATTAAGATATAATATAGAACATTTGAAAACAAAAATATTTTTAAAACAACAAATTTCAACAGAGAATGAACATTATTAGAGTTTAATGCATACAATCAAGGATTGGGGCTTGAAGTTTTGTGAGTGCTAATTTTGAGTCTGGGGTTGCTAAGTCCCCATAGCACCCTCCTAGTTGCGCCAATGAAACTATTAAGTTTCAATTAACATTTAACAGGTTAGTCAAAGAACTCAAGTCAAGTTAGTTACCATTTGTAATGAGTTACAAATACAATAATATGAAAGTTGATGTTTTTTAATTATTACTATAACAAGACATACCTGCATTAAAGGTGAAGGTTTACATTTATTACTTTTACGACTATACGATGTCGGAGATGTCAAATTCGGGCTTTAATCTTTATCGAAGTAGATTATATTCGTGTCAAATGACTGATAAAGCAATGTCGGAGTAGCGTTAAGTCGTATCATGCAACGTTCGTGGTAATTGTAGCAACCCTTGACCACCAACCTGGTAATGGGTCCAACAATCGCGCCAAAAAACGTGACAGCAGAGTTGCTGATAACAGTCATTGAGATAAGATAAGAGCTGCTGCAGCGGTTTTTTTTTTAACGGCTTTGAGGAAAATATGATTATAATACAATATAGACTTTAATGCTACTCGTATGTGTGATTTTTTATAATACCGTAAATAGGAATTTCGTGAATGTGTATCGCTCGTCTCAACCGACATTATGGCCGACCGCCGGTGCGACAACAACGTAGAAAGGGCCAAACGATTGAAATTGGCCCGGGCATTATGCACGGCCATGTCTGGAGACGGTGACATAAGGTGAGCGAAATGAATTTCCAGTACACTATTGGTGAGCTCTTGTTTAAATTGCACTAAACAGCTCTTATTATTAAGTGACAACTGTGACCGATTACAGTGTTTAAACCTATACTGTACACTACATTACGGTCTCCCGTCTATTTAGGCTTATTTCTCAGAGCTTATTACTTATTTCACTAATAATAATAATGGTTCAGTAAAAAAGGTAGCAGCTCGCTTTGTCTAGTGAAAATGAGACGTTAGCGTGTCGCCGGGGACTCATTTTTACTAGACAAACGATCTGCCTTGTAGGAAACCCTGTTCGAAGGAGGCGGTTATTATAATTGAATAAGATTACCTATTTCATGTTTGACCGACTTCACCACAGACAAAATCTGGGCTTTTTTTATGATGACTTGTATTTTTAAATAAAAAATATGCCGTCTCTCCTGACTTAAAGATTTTGTGATGTACCAAACCGTTCCAGTTTCGATCCAAAAGTTCTAACCGAATTTGGGTTAGTTTGGATTTGAATGATTGGTTGGTTCGATCTTAAGAAATTACAATTTGAAACAATATTATTTTTATGCTAATAATAGGTAATCTGCAAATTTCACTAGTTTAAAGTATAAAGCTACATGCACTTACTGATCAAAATATTACTTTGATTGTCGACAATAAATAAACAAAATATTAATGTTATTATGATAATAAATTCTTAACTTTTTAGGTTTTCATTATCTTTTTAACGTTTGGATGCCCAAATAGCTTTAATTTTAAGCTTGACATTTTGATCAGTATTAAAATGTTATAAAATCAGCACTGGCAAAATGTTTGAGAGAGATTTGGTAATAATGAAAAAATTAAAATATTTCTTTTGAAATAAGTTGTAAAAATTCTTCAAGAGCAACTGTAAATTTTATAAAAAACCAAACAATGTATGTTATAAGAAGAGTAAAGATATGTTTTGGATGAATTTTTTTGTTGTCATTTTGACATTATTTAAAAAATAAAATATATACCAATTGAATTTAAACTTTCTAGGGTTGTTTGAATATTTTTTTTTTTTTTGGAACAATGTCTATTTTAAACAAAATTTTTGTCAGTAATAAAATGTGTTAAAATTAGCACTGATAAATTGTTCGTGTTTTAATCTAATTTAAACAAAAGGTCTAATGCAAAATTGTAGAAACTGTTATGGTAGAAGAGATAGAAATAATTAACAGTGTGTAAGCTTAGTAGTGGTTATAATTTTTTCAATTAAAATGTTTAGAATGTGTGGCTGAATCGGTAAGACGGCGGTGTGTTTGTGCTCACTGTCACCGATTTAACGCTTGGTCACATACTAACCAGACACAAAAAAAAAAATCTAGTTCATTGACAATGCACAGTGCGGTTAAATTAGATCACAAATCAGAAAAAAATCTAACAACCAGGAAATTACTAGGAACTTATTAGAAATAGGAAAACGTATTATATTATTATCATAATATTACAAGTAGCAGTTCTAGATTTAGCGAGCTTAGCATCTTGGCTTAATGACCTTCAGCGTGGCAGTGAGCGCTTAGGAAAAGAGAAATTTCTTATTAGAGTAACCGTGTCAACAACAGAAATCAAATGTTGTTAGACAATGCTATAGCTAAGATTGAAGAGTTCTAGGTGGCTAGAAACCAATTGGGAGATAATTCTTTAGTTTAATTTAAAAGGAGCTAAATTTTTTTAATTATGGTGTAACAAAATTGCTATTGGGAATATTGATTTCAGGTATAACAATTTTTAGTCTGTGAAACAAATGTCGAATCAGCCTTAACTATACTACAACCAGCACTAGGTCACTTGATAAGTTATGATTTATGAATGACTGTAGATTTTTGTTTTGCAAATTATTGTTTGTTATTTAAATTAAAATTAGCCAAGGACTGCACTTGAAGTCGGGTACTTGCTTAAAGAATTTGTGTTTTCTGAAATCATTTTTTTTTGATTATTTTAGTTTTTAGTTTGCTTAAAATAATTGCTAGGTTGTTCTCACTAATCACGAGACGTGCCAATTCGAGATGACCATTGTAATGTGTAAAATTAAAATTAAATTCATACTTATATTATGTTTTCAAATTGTCTTCTTTCTTTACAGGCAAGTTGTCACGCTGCTGAACGAAGATAAAGCCGATCCAAACACGATTGTGCCGGAGCTATGTATGACGCCGTTTCATATAGCCGCCGGCCACGAAAATGTAGCTTTCGGCAAGATAGCCTCGTCGCTTATCCTTCACTGCGGAGGTGATCCTAACAAAAAATGTTGTGACGGCGGCCAAACAGTGCTGCACGTCGCCGTTGCTTGGAACCGTTGGCATGTAGTCCAAGCGTTGTTGAAAGGGCCATATATAACGGCCGATCCCCGAATAAAGGATGACGATGGTTTGACAGCATTTGATTACGCCATAAAGTTTAGTGCTTGGGAATCGCTGGCCGAACTTCGTTCTCAAAATGAAAAAAATCTAGGTAATAATTGCTTTTATGTAACGGTGTGGTTCATAGTGCATTTATTTATAGTATTTATCATTTTCTCAAACTTTCCAAAAATTAAATACCTTTTTGTTCTTGTTGTAAAGAGGTCAAATATTGAACTGTAGTTTTATTTGGTATACAATACTACAACGAAACGTTAAACCGAGAATTTTTAAACAAGAAATAGGTTTAGCAATATAATTATACTTAATAACAAATGAAATGCATTATTTTCGATTTTAATATTCTTTATAAATTTATATATCATTTCATGTGTAATACTTATACTCTAATTCTCTAATTTTTTGTTTAAGCATCAAACCAAAATCGCTATGGTACGACAAATTTAAACGATTACACTATGAACAGCTCAAATGACGCTTATGGTGACGGCCCATCCATAGTGCAGCCCGACAATTACCGTAAGACCAACATGTCGAGCTTTAGCGGTTACAGCGGCAGTGAAAGTTCATTAGACAGCAGTAGTAGCGTGGTAGCTAAAACAAATGCTGTTGACAGTGATTGTATAGATCAATCGGCACACATAGATTCCTTCGCAAGATCACTGGAACTATCTTCGATACACAAGGCGACCGAAGAAGATATCCTGAACAAAAACATTACCTCAGAACTGTCCGAAATGTATCGCCACGACGACTCAAAACGACTGATGGCTAATTCGCTGTCGATAAGGTCTATGCTAGGCAATGATTGTTTGATTGAAGACTACAGTTGCCCATTAATGGACACATATTGCGATTCCAAATTTGGTATATCGTTTTTGGACGCCTACAGCGACCCGTTTAAAGACGACAGTGTTCAGAACGAACCAAAATCAACAAACTATGATTGGATGATGACAGACGTTTCGGGTTTGTCAAGTCTTGCCACGGACAGTGGTGATGAATACTACACTTGCCCGGAAAAAAATAGCTTAGATAATTCCAAAACGAGTAGCAGTCAATCGATCGATGCCATCAACAACGCCATAGCTCAAATGAGCATCGACGGCTATTCCACTTCGAGGTACTTTTTCATACGACTGAAATTAATTTTATTTAAAGAAAATTTTAAATGTTGGTTGGGTGATGTGTAGGTTGGGAAAATGTTTAAAAGTCTAATAAAACCACTAACAATAATATTTCAAAAAAAAAAAAACCAGCCTTCGTTAAAAGGTTAAAGATTTACCGAATTTGACGGTTTTGAAAAAAAAAAATTTTAAATCTATTTGAAATATATTGCTCTGCGGTTCAAAACAACCTAATTTGCTGTAAACTAACTCCCGACTGTTATTGTATTTGTTTGATTCAGGTTCATATCAAAAATATCGACTGGAGCAAATTCGATACAAGTTACAAATCTGAGTTTCGAGTCATCGAGTATATTTTTTTTAAATTTTTGTTGAATACCAAATTGTTACCAAATTACGATATTGAATTTCGATTTTTGATTTTACAGACGACAGTAGTAGCTTAACGGAGGTAACAGACGATTGTGACACCGACGACCTGCGTCAAAGTCTCAGGAGACTTGGTAACGCCCCGGGACCAATACCAAACGCCGGCACTAAACGTTTGTACTTAAGGCATCTAAAACGGTTACTGAACAATGTGCAGGAACCCAAACAAGATTTGCAAGCGCCTGTTGTCGATGACTTTCTCGGTACGTCTTAATACAACAATTCGGTGGCGATGACAAAAGTAAAAACCTGGATATTTTCTTAAAAAGTTCCTATCCGATATTTGTTCCGGAACAAACAAGTCAAAATAATAAGAATGACAGTTTTTAAGTACATTAATTTTACATCTCTCATTTAAAATAATTTATGTTAAAAATTATTAGATAAAGAAGGGTAAATTAAAATTTTAAAGTTGATTAATAGTTCCAACAAAGTATTATTATGACAAAAACATAACTATTATATTATTATACTTGTAATAATGAAAATAGACATTAATTTAAATTATAAAACAACAATTCAATTTTGTAATTATGCGAAAAGAAAAGAGTAAAGTAATCCAACTCTACGACAAATGATAAAGTTCCGTAACGATTTCTCGAACTTTATTCGGATCCTTGATTATGGATGATTGATTGTAATTATTTTTAATGTTTAATTGGTCTTCTGATTTTTTAGACGGGTCGTATAGTAATCAGTTGACCGAAGTGTTGACGGCTCAGAGTACGTGGAAATCTCAAATCACAGAATGGAGCGGTTTAGAAGACAAAATAGTCTGCGACAAAAGCGGATCTTCATTTACATACTTGCTTTTGGATCCCAGAGTGACCAAGAATTTGCCCGGTCGAGCTGACAGCATCGACCAACCCATCGACGTATGGCGCACGTTTGTCAAATCTATTTTCTATGTGGGCAAAGGCACCAACTCTAGGCCTAACGATCACATGCGAGAAGCGTTCAACGAATGGGTGGGAGCCAGTGTTACGGTCAAGAACTCTTCTGGCCGAAAAGTAAATGTTTATTTTAGAACTGCTGTATAAACTAAAATTTACTATTAAAAGTTAAAGGTGTTTTGATAAAAACATTTTAAAAATTCGGTATGGTGCTAGTGGTACTAGTCAACACGGGCAATTTTTTTTTTAAAATGTTGACTACAGTTTTTTGAGAAAAATGTTTAAGTCAGTTTCGTCCCGTTCAAGATTTACTTCCAGTCCAGTTTTTAAATAATAGAAACAATTTCGGTATTGTAGGTAAGCTATATGGAAATCAATTAATTCGCGCTAAAAAAAAGCTAATGGTTTTCATTAAAGTTGAAACTATAGTTTATTTTATAATATGTTTTGAAATTGATACACAGAGTTATTTTACTTTTTTAAATCCTGTATCTGAATTCAGGCCTGGGCATAAATTAAATAATTCTGGTATATATTTTTTTTTAAATTAAATACTTATGCAAATCTGTTTTTTATTTTAGATCCAAATGATGATTTCAGATACATTTTTTAATAAGTATTGTTTTATATTATTCAGTAGAAAGTATTTAGTTACCTATCTATAAAAAAAAACATTACGTAGATTAATTAAAACAATAATGTATGATGATAATAAAATATTTGATGCACTGAATAAAAATTGTCCAGATCTAAAAACAAAACAGCACACAAAGTGTTATAGGTGTGTAAAATTAATAAATGTATATACATTTTATTTTATTTTTATTAACATAAAATATGTAAGTGTTCATCCCACCCAAATAAAATAACTATATACTATTGTAATTATTCCAGTTTTATGCATTTTTATACAAAATTATTGGTATGCTTTTGATATATTATATGTCTAAAGAATATTCCATACAAATTTTAAATAATTCAACTATTTTTACAATACTACAATTATTGTCCCAATCGATCAGTCCAAATTGTCAGTAGATTATTCTGAACTTGAAAAGTCTGTGACGTATAAAAATTTGTAGTAAAACTTTTGTAATTGAGAAAACACCAACCCCCCGTTTCGATTGATTTTTAAATCATTTTTTTTTTTATAAAAATGTATGAACGTAAAGTTTGTAGACAAATTAAAATAAGTTTATCTATTCCTCTTTGAAATACAGGAAATATCCTAAGAAATTTAGATATTTTTCAACTATTAACATGGTACACTATAATTTATTTTGGTGTTTTAAAGAAAATTAAATTAAAAAAAAAAGGAAGAGACAACGGGAATAAGTATAAAAAAAATATAAAGTGAATTTAAAAAAAAAATAATATAATATGAATGACAAAAAATAGGTAAATAAAATAGTATAATATAATACATAATGAAAATAGTAACCTTATACAGTAGAATACAACATGATATTTTGAATAATTTTTTTAACCGGTATTTTCAGTGTGTCTGGTATAGTGATGGGAATCCAAAAATCCGGATTTTTCAAAAAAACGCTTTTTAAGTCATTTCAAAATCATATAATTGTTCAATACTATTACAATATAAAGATGTGTACTTAAGTAAAATTTGTTGATAAAAATGTTTAAAAAAAACTCTTAACTTTGTCTATAAAATGCTTTCGGATTCCGGATTTTCGGATTTCAACAAATCCGAAATTCAAAAGCAGTTTATCTCTTTGGTGTTTTGTTTTATTTTCACATATTTATCAAAAAAATGTTACTTAGATATAGAGCTTTAAATTGTAAAATTATTTAACACATGATTTTTAAGGAGCTTAAATAGCGTTTTTTTTGTGAAAATCCAGATTTTCCGATTCCCATCACTAGTCTGGTATGTCCTGGAAATAATATTGATGCAATTCTAATAATTGAAAATGTATTCTCTTGAATTCAATTTTAGTCAAACGTGTTTAAATAATCCAAAAGAAACTTTTTATTTTAAATGTAACATATATAGTGAATAATTAGCATACTCATTTATGAATTTTGTCTTTGTTTTCCAGATTCAATACATTTTGGACGTGTGGCGCGAAAACAAGGGCGTAGTTTGCGTACAAGCATTTCATCATTTAACGCCGAAAGAGGCTCATATCCGCGAAGCCGCCATGATTGACGCTATGGGCCTTGACAAGTTGACAAATGAGAAACGCGGCACTTACTACGATCAAACGACTCGCTGGAGAGGTAGTGATAAGTGCAAACTGGGCTGTTACCTATTGTACCGTGCGATGCTCGTTTTCTTAGCCGACGGCGAACGACAGTTGCGACCGGTTGATTTGACGTAAAACAAATTTAACAATATTTTGACTTTTGTTTATCCTTTATGACACCAAAGATTTTTTGTAGTTTATTAGCTTGTAGTCTAGTCTTACCGCAAGAGGTAAAATAATTAAAAAAATGTTTTCCAATATTAACGTTCCTTTTTAAAGTTATTACGGTAAACACTTTTTATTTACACGGACTGATAAATTATTAACTGTTACATATTTTTAAATGTTTAACATTATTCCTAAAAAAAAAAAAAAGAATTAGATACCTATATATTGTATAATGTTTAGAATATATTATGTTTTATTATAAAACAAAAATTTGTAGAAACCAAATTTTTTTTTCCATACATTTATTTTGTTATTAACCGTCAAAAGAATATTTTTTAGGCGACGATATTTGTAGAACTGACGTTTTTTTTTTTAATTGTATTTTAAATAGCTGAAGTCGTTGATATAATATTGTCATTGATTAAAATACATGGATAGACTGATATATACATTTTTTTTTAAATTCATTATTTCCTAACCGATTTTAAAACGGTCATGTAGATTTGTCGATAGTGATATTATTATTGCTTTCAGACTGTTAGAAGTAAATTTATTATTATTTTTTAATACTTATACATTTGAAAATGAGTTTTTTGCTGTGTTTATAAAAAGCTATTTTATTGCAGCTTGTAATAATTTACAATAGCTGTTCATCTTTTCCACCCGAAAACCAATACCCCGGAACGTTTTTTAACAAATTAAATAAATCGAACATGTATAATTTTCCGTTTATTGCGTTGCATATTGCAATTTAGTGCACAATTATTATTGTTATCTGCTACTTTTTCGCCTATTTTACAATATTCATTTATTCGGCGTTTATTTCACTTATTTTTAATTTAGCCGGATCTGCATAAAATGCTGTAGTCGTTGTAGGTATTATTATTTAATATTATTTTGTTATTCGAGAAATTAATTTGTGCATTGTTGTATAAAAATATGTCTATCTAATCTTAAGTCCATCTAGAACAAGTAGGTACATTAAATAAATTAACAATAGTTGTAACCGTAAAATTATTTTGGTAATTAATCAATAACTACTGAGTAGTTATACAATTCTTCTGATAAGCTTCGTAATAGTAATTAGTATTATAGCATCTCTATCAGCCGCAACGGTGGCGACGTCCATTTGAGATGACGTATAAAGTTTCATTTCGAGTAAAGATAAATAGTTAAAGAGATCATCATCATTACTTTGTCAAACTATGGATTTTTTTGTACATCAAGGAATTTTTACTTACAAGTAAAATAAATAAATATGTTAATTGATACAACAATTTTTTAAAGTCTATTTGATATTTTGATTATATTTCTTTAGGATTTTATAAGTTTAAAATGAGAAAAAACCAATATAGTGGGGTCGGTGCATAGTGGGGATGGAACATAGTTGGGTCGGGGCATATTGGGGACGGGGAGGTCACAGGTTTACAGGAATTTTTAAATCTGAAAGTGATAAAATCACTTTCAAAAAAACGCTTTGATGCAAATCGGTAGTTAGTATTTTCAAGCCAGTACAGTCCAAACCAAGCACAGTATAAACCAGCAAAGTTAGAAAGTTTTAAATGAAGGTTCTGTATTTACAAATGAGCATCAAAGCGTTAATTTGAAAGTGATTTTATCCGAGAGGACTAGTACAGTAGAGTATTGGCATAATGTAATCAAAGCAATGAGGAAACGGAGAGGTCACAGGTCTACAAGAATTATTATAAATAAAAGTGATAAAATTGAATAAAATCGCTTTCAAATAAACGCTTTGATGCTCATTTGTAGATACAGAACCTTCATTTAAAACTTTCTATTTTTGCTGGTTTATACTGTGCTTGGTTTGGACTGTACTGGCTTGAAAATACTAACTACCGATTTGCATCGAAGCGTTTTTTCGAAAGTCATTTTATCACTTTCAGATTTAAAAATTCCTGTAAACCTGTGACCTCCCTGTCCCCAATATGCCCCGACCCAACTATGTTCCGTCCCCACTATGCACCGACCCCACTGTACTGGTTTTTTTTTTTTTGCAAAAACTTAGTGGACTAAATAACACATATACAATGTCTTGTTATATTTTGTTGGAATGGTCGACGATTCATGTTCCAATCGTTTGTACTCCATAGTTTAAATTATAATCGCTTATTCTCGATAAAATTAATATTTATGTATTATATACTTCCATTAAAGCAATCTCACACAAACTATTTATACTCCATTGAATTTATTATTTCAAAGCTACATTATACTTCTCTTTTACTAGATTGACAATGTACAAAATAAAATGCAACTAAAAAAACCTTTTCATAGATCCTTAAAATGTTAAGGGTGGGATAGTGAAACGGGTTTTACCATTTAAATACATTAGAAAATCGCCGTTTTACTGCCTCATCCTGTATATTAATTTCTTGTTATTTTCTAAAGAAAAATCGATTTTCTTACATTTAAATTAAAATAAATCGTATACTGGTACTGTGATGGAGAAAACAATAAATTTTACCTACATATATTACTTATTAGTTAAATATTACTAACGTGTATAGCCACTAGCGGTCGGTTGTTGCTTGTTATTTAACAATAACCTTTTATGGAATTGTGTTTTTTTAATAATATCATAGGAGCAGTATCATGATGTTAAATGTTCACGAGATTTGATCTAGTCATAAAATAAAGTATTATCATTTATGACTTAATTATTATTAAAATTTATCTTAATAGTAATAGTACATAGTAATAAAATAATGAAATATTTTATACAAAATTAGAGCTACAAGTTGATAAACTAAAAAATTAAAATTAGCACGAAGCAGATTATCTAATATTAGACAATTTAAACAATCAAGCGTGAATCTCTTTAAATGAATAACAGTATAACAATATGCAAAACATTAGTTTTCCTTTAAAAAAATTGTGTAATAAAAAATACATTTTGAGGCGGTATACTGCATAAAAACCAACACTTAATCTGAATCCAATAAACAACAGTCCTCTTCATAATTTGCAGGTAAATGGACCATATATACTCATAGTTGACCTTCGGTAAGGTTATATAACGCAGGCTATAAAATAACGAGATAACGACAGTGGTTTTGTCGTATCAGAATCATTAAGTGTCTTAATAAGTACACGGATAGGTTTTTTTCCCAATAAATCGAGTGTCTACTATAATCAGTTACACGATTTAGTCGCCTATGATATCATGTAATAAACACAATATTATGATACCGATCATTGGACCCCAACCTAATCTAACACGGATAGACGTTACCAACTGATAGTTTTTAGTGTCTGTTAGTTTCTCACATCTGGTACACCGGGTTTTTAGTTAAAAAAAAAAAAATTGAATTTGTGTAAACTTAAAGTCAAAAGTGGTACTTGAGCACAAAACCTAGTAGTATCATTCTGCATAGATATACATAAAATTTGTTTTAATGATTTGATCAATTTTTTTTAAAGATTTTAGGTGTTTTTGTTAAAATATACGAAATCTGCGAAAACACTGTTTCCCGGCAATTAAAAAAGAACTGTAGTGCCGAATTTTTTTCCCGTTGAATATGTTATGGGTACATATGAGTTCCAACTACTGCCAAATTTTCAACCCAAAAGTTTTAAAATTACCGCTAAAAAACCCGAAAAACAAAAAAATTGTACCCCCCCCAGTGGGTGGAAAATGGGTATAGTTTAAGTTTGACACAACTGACGTGTGCGGGCATACGAAATAATTATTTCTTATACATTCCAACTCGATCCGACTCTTTTTCTCGAAATTATAGCCAGTAAAAGTTCTAACTTAAAAACTCGTACGGTTTTTTTTTTGTTTTTTCAACTTTCGTCTGTGAAGAATTAAACTTTTTCAACTTTTACCCCCCCCAAAGTACCAACTAGATGAAATTTGCAATTTATAGAGTTGCTACTCGAAGGAATTGGTCCAGTATTAAAAAAGTTACAGTGTATACAGATAAAAAAAAAACACACATCAGAGTAAAACCAATACCTTCTCGCTTTGCATCGAAGCTAAAAACTTTGTTTTCGTTTTCCTGAAAAATGGCAGTTTTGAACTTAACCCCTTTTACCCGGAAGCCGTCGATTTGATAGGGAATACACTGCGCCATGATTGTGTCCTATTCTCGAAATCTGAGTTTGTATTTTTGCGCGGATAGCATCGGCTGACTCGTGGAAGCTTGCTATACGATGGAACGTGGAGAGAGTTCGGGAAGTCTGGTAGTTTCGTGTCAAATTGAAGTTCAAGTGCTTCAGTGGCCAATTACTGTTGAAATATCTCTAAGTCCGGAAAATTCATATTTCGAACAGCGGCTGGCATTGGGGTAGCTAGGAAACAAAAAGGCCTATTAAGAGGAAACAGAGACGCGGGTCGTCGTTGGAAGAAGACGGGGACAAGAAGAAGATGCGTCCAGAGGAGGAGGAAGGAGATTATGACAAAGTAATAACTAACAAGGGTGTTGGACTAGTTTACTAGGAAACTTGGTGAAAAAGATAGTAGCAACAAGTCACTCCTGAATAAGGAAAATACTAGACAGTTTCTTGGAAAAGTGGAGGCTATCAGAGACACGGTTAAAGAAGTCTTTTTGGAAGTGAGGGCTAAAGACAAAATAGTTCAGGAGTTAGTGGGACAGTTTGCGGTCGTTGTTGCGAGTAAGCAGGAGGAGATCGAAGGACTTAAAAGGGAAATCGGAGAATTGAAGATACGTATTCCCTGAGGGAATGGCTCCGTTGTGAGGGATCAGATTGTCGTCAACACACCAAAAGTGGTCACTTCGGTTAAGGCAATGCCACAGACGAAAAAGGCAACCAAAAAGCTGGACGAGTGCAGAGTGAGGTCAACAAGGATAAGTTGTGGACTGAGGTAGTGGGAAAGGTCCCACGGCCCCAGATCAACATGGCCAATACGAAATCTGGGAAGGTTATTTTGAAGACCAAGGACACCGCCACGGTAAACGCCCCGAGGAAAATAGACACGTTGAAAGATGAGGTGGTGGCCGAGAATTTTGATTACTGGAATCGACACGGCTATGTTGCCGAATACGTTAAATTCATCTTTGTTTCTCATCGCATATTTACTTATTGTACATATAGCTGTATAGATAGTAAATTTTCTAATAAACGTCCTTAAAAAAAAAAAAAAAAAACAATCTTTGTTATACTATTTTATTTCTGATCGTTTGAATTTGTACCATAAATATAGCGAATA